CTCTGCTGCTTCTGTTGCAGCTGCTGCCAATGTTGACCCAACTATCGTCCACGATTTAGTAGAGATGGTCCCTCTTGTTCAGTATCTCATTGTAAGTATTCCTACTTACTTCCTTTTCAGTATTTTAACTGTATAAATTGACCCTTTGAATTAAATAATTGGTTAGAGTTTTATGCCTAATATGTTTTATATACTTCGGATTAGTGTGATTTGTGAAACTTAAGCCCTTCTAATGTGGCGTGCGAATCTTTCAGGACCAGAAGCAAAATACTTCGTTTACACGCAGGGGATCCGTGATCTACACAAAGACACCTTCAAGAGAATCTTTATATAAAAAGGTTTATTCTTTGATTTCATCTAAATGCTTAATTTTATGTTTAATTTTGTTCCAAATCTTCTCTCTGAAGTCTGAATCATGTTTTCTGTTTTTTTTTTTTTGGAATTGACTAAATGAACTTTAGATGTAATGTGTTTCCGCATACGCATTCATAAACAAATTTAAAACACCCTATTTGACAGAGCTGTCTTTAGAAATATTAGGGCTATATTAAAGAAATATCAGTTACACTTGTGTTAGTGGAAATTACAATATCATGTTCATACCCAATCTTTGTTTTACACTAATGTACCAAACTTACACATTTAAGTGCCCCTTGGCAAGTAATTTGGCCGAAATGGACCTAATTAGCTGAATTTTGTTCAAAGCGAGACATTTGTTAACATCCATTTTAGATTTTTAGCTAAAGAAGTAAGTCAAAAGCTTCTTATTTTGGTGAAATGCAGAATAAGACAAAGACAGAACTGGCTACCAAGTAGAGCTTTACATCTTTTATTTATGTGGAGACTTTCTGAAACTGGCATTGATTCTATGACATTGGAACCATCATTTGCAATGTTTTCGTTTATTAGTGTTCTATGGACACAAAATAAATTTTTTTGCCCTTTGAATTTGAAAAGTTTTGCTTGTTTTTTGTATTCACAATTAGGCAGTGCAGTTTATATCTTTCATATGAATGTTTCTAGGCCTCTGAAGCAAAAGGAAGAAATACAACTCAATCAATTTCTCGAAAAAAGAAAAAGGAAAATGTTGGGGAAGACTTGTCATTGAGGTCTTCCATAGCAGAGAAGGAAAGAGAAGAACTTCTTGCATTAAGGGAGCAAGTAGAGGACTTACAGAGAAAACTGTTGGAGAAAGAGGAACTACTTAAAGAAGTTGAGAATTCAAGGATTGAGATTGCTTCCCTCCATTCCAAACTAGATGGGATTCAGAAGGAATTTGATGAAAAAGACTCTTTACTCAGATCCACTCAAATCCAGCTCTCTGATGCGAAGGTGAGTACAATGCATCTATTTGATGACATGATTCAGCTGAAATGTCGATTACCATTAATTAATAAAACACAATCTGTATTGCACTTTTACTTTATATGATTTGCTTGACTAGTGGCGGGACCTAGAAATTAATATTTGACATTTTGACCACCATTTTAACCTGAAATCTGAATGTCCACATTCTGCAAAAAAATAAATAAAAGGAGAACGTATATGTACATTGATGTTTCAAATTGGCTATTTTGAATTAGATAAAACTAGCTGACAAACAAGCTGCTGTGGAGAAATTAGAATGGGAGGCAACAACTTCCACCAAGAAGGCAGAGAAACTCCAAAGAGATCTAGATGTAGTGCAAGATGAAATTTCATTGTTTATGAAGTTTGTAGGAGAGTTGACAAAGAATAAGATGACACATATTGCAGATGATTATCATGTTAGTTGTCCCTGGGATGACCAGCTGAATAAAATGGTATGCACTTCTAGCCATTCATTATCATTATTGCATCAGCTAGAACATATATAGATGTCAGATACAGAATATCTTTAGATTGTTACTTTCAACTCCCTAAAATTTGGGCAAGATACAAAATATTTGTTGTATAAATTACAAATATACCCTTCAAGCAGTCATATTTTCATCGTAAATAACACCCTTAACACTGACACATGATAGAAATAGTGATACTGGCCAGAATTGAGTGCTTTGGACTTTTTTTTTGTATTGCATCTGATCATGTAAAATGTGTGTTGTGGTTTTTTCAGGAAACTACTCCCTCTGTCCCTAAATTTACTTCCAACTTTCCCTTTTCGTCCGTTCCAAAAAGAACTTCAATTTCCCTTTTTGGCAAAGAATTTGTGGTGGTTCACAGCATTTCTCTCTCCTCTGCACAACTCTCCACCACACAATTCTCACTTTCTTAATCACCGTACCACTTTAATTTGGAAGAACAATCAGGGACGGAGGGAGTAGCATTTATTCAGAAAACGCTCCTCAATTCCTATTGATACCATGATGATATTTTACCATCTATCTGACTATTCAAGGGTGTATTTGTTAAAACCTAACTTGTTTAGGAAATGTCTCATATTCATCTTTATGTGGGAAAGTTTGAATGGATGGCAATTTTTCCATTCAGAGGATCTTTTTGAAGTTCATTTTTTAATTGGGTTCAACAGGATAATCTGAAAGAGGTGGAAATGCAAAAAGTGGAGGCCGCAAGGGAAGCTTATGTTGCTGCAGTGGCTGCTGCTAAAGAAATGAGAGACGAGTCATCCATGGCGGCAGCTTCTGCTGCAAGAGAACAACTGCAATCACTACTAGGTTTATTCTGACAATGAGGAAACAACACAATCTAATATTCTAATTCCCACATATTTGTGTGTTACAATTATTGTAGAAAAAAGAAAGTCCAACTTAAATATTTAGCTTCTTTTCTTCAATGTAATCTTGAGATACTCTTTTTGTTTCCTTTTTGTTGGTCAAATGTACTCATCACAAGATCTATCAACCACCATTTGTAACTTTGTATCATACGACTCCTCTCCTATTAATGGTAATGGACGCCTTAACGCTATAGGATCAATTTGGGTGGTTTAGCTTTTTGTTTTGATAATAAAACACTATTATTTCTTTAATTAGTATAAATTTTCAAATGTACGCCAACAGACATAGACTTAATTCTTCAAAATCTTCCCCTCATCACTATACATCCAAAAAAGAAGATTTAGATGAATTTAGATTATCTGCTGGCAAATTATACTGTGGGATCGGTGTATCGTGAGCATGGTGCACCGATCCCAAAACGGTACAGTTTTATATTAAAAAAATCATAATCTTCGGACTTCTTCTCTTTTGCGATTTCATCTATATCCCTCGTATGAATCATTCCTTTTCCATAGAACTCCGCCTTACTCCAGCTCTCAGGACCTGAAGCCCCGACGTCGCCCCACTGCACAGGCCATCGCACACGAGAGTAATATTTCGTCAGACAATTATTAGAGTCTCGCCCAGCCGCCAATTCTCCAGTCCGGCCACAGCTCTCCCGTCGTTAAGAAAGGAGTGTTTCCAGAAGTCATCTCCTCCGCCTTTGGTGCAATCGTCTGCCCTAAAATTGGTTGAATTGGATCGATGTAGCAATTAGGCCCATTGAAATAAATTGTCTGGCTTTCTGATGTTGCACCGATGTTGGATTCAAAAACAGAGTTAGATTGAAGGAGAACATTCAGATGTTGGATTCAGCAGCTATGCATTGTTTCTGACTTTCTGAATGTTGCAGACTTGCTGTGTTGATATTTGTCTTCAATATTTGAATGGTGTGGTACTGGGAAGAGCAATAAACCTAAATAATCTAGATGTGGAGTGCGTATAGGTGGGCAAAATTAAAAAACTTCAAGATCAATGTTTGTTTTAATATATACATATATTTTATGTGGAGTATTAGACAACTTACATTTTGATTGCTCTTAAGTTACATGTCCATAAACACAATTTACATTTCAATACGTCTTAAGTTACATTTCCTTTAACACAACTTACATTACTACTTACACCAAATTACATTTTAGTTAATAGTTTTACATTTTGATTTACCTCAGGAAGTTACACTTCAATTAACACGATTTACATCTCAATTGGCCTGAAGTTACTTTTTAATATACACGATTTACATAACATGGATTACATCACAAAATAAACTCCTATTGAAACAAAAAATACTTTTTGAAATTCGTTTTTTTTTTCAAAAAATGATTTTTTGGGGGAAAATGATTTCTTTAAAACGTTTTATGGTCTTAATATTAAAAAAACAAAACATATTCACTATTTAGATAAAGTAAATAAGCAAATGGACTCTTTTTTTATTCTTTACATTGAAATCAATGTTTTAGACAAGTTACATTTCGACTCGCCTGAAGTTACATTTTTTATCAAATGTGAGTTACATTTTTTTACACATGAGTTACATCATTCTGCCCAGGACAATGAAAAAACAAAAAAATGCACTGTACACGCGTGTACTGTTCATGCGTAAATTTTTTTAAGTTAAAATGCGCAAAACTGCGTCGTTTTGGAAGGGGAGCACGATGTTCACCGTGGGATCATACGAACTCTTATCTGCTCCGCTTTTTATGTATTTATCAATTGAAGGTAATTGGCTACAACGGCATAAACAAGCTCACATGAACGAACCTATTTGGAAACAAATGAAATACAGAAAGTTGTAACTGTACATAGAAATTGCCTATATTGCCTATACACAACAGAATCAAATCAAATACACAACAAAATCTAATCAAATAGTAAACCAATATTTATATTTATTTCTTTCTATCACCAGGCAAGAAAGAAATGTACTTTAAAGTGGACATTCCATTTGTCTTGAGGTTTTGTATGACCAAATGTACTCTCGACATAACAATTGTACCAAAATTGTAAAAATGAAAACTGGATACGACTGAATCAAAATCTACAACATTGTACGAAAAGGCGACGGGCTCTATGCTTCTTTAAATATGGACCATCTGGTTTAGGCATGTGAACTGGACTTCCCACCCACTCCCACCCTAATCTGCAATATCCAAAGCTCTCATAAGTCATAAGTACATATAGATTCAAGAAACACACTAAAAAACACTAAAGTGATTAGGATGTGAATTAAGTTCAACTTACACTGGAAAGGCAAAGGAACCTCTACTAGCATTTGAGGGATGATCATAGGCACTTGATCCAGAAGGTTCCAAAATGCCCTCCTCCTCTCTTGGGCAAATTGTCCCTTTAGTCCCTTCATCTCCTTCCAATTCTGCATCCGTATCTCCGCTCCCGCTCTCCTCACCCTACTAAAGAAATGGAATCACTAAACCTCCCTATGCAGCTGAGGTGTCAAACATAAGAAGAGATTTCACCTTTTCAAATGATAGAAGTCAAACATAAGAAGAGATTTCACCTTTTCAAATGATAGAACAATGTCTTTGTAGCTCCCACTATAGTTTTTTTCTTCATTTTCCTCGTACTTCAGCTGCTTTATTTTTTTTCACAAAAAAACATTCCATTTACAAAGAAAGAGTGATCAGTGTTGGAATATACAAAGGTCAACCTAATGCACATTGACGTTTTCTCAAACCGGTGGTCCCGAGTAAGGGCCCCACCACAAGGTGTGTGTATAGGAGTAAGCCTCCGTTCTCCAGGAGCGGAGCTAGGGCACTGGCCCGGATTGGACAGATACTTTTTAATTTGGGGTGGGTCATGGCCAAGGTAGGGCCCCTCTAGCTCCGCCATGTCGTTGTCATTTTGACAAGCGGCCACTCCCAACCCACGACGGCACGACCTTACACAATATCATAACTGGTGCTCCTAGGACCCCTTTGGAGTTTTCGAATACTCCCTCCGTAACAAAAAATCTTCTCACTCTCTCTTTTCGTCCGTAACAAAAAAAATTCTCATTTCTAAATCTTCCATCACACACTCAATAATTTATATTCTTTTTCGCTATTCTTAATCTATTTACTTTTGAAATGAGAAGATTTTTAAGTTTTGGGGGAGTATAATATAAAAAATTCAATCCGGCCATCAATATACGGAGTATAAGAGTAACCTTGCGGCTAACATGTCTCAACTTTTTGTTTGCACTTGGAAGATTATTGGAAGGCTCTGATTTCCTATCCTCCATTGCATGAATTTCTCCATCCTCGGAAAAACAGAAAACTATGTAATCCTCTTCCTCGAAGTGGGGCCAACTGCTGTCATCTCCTGTTTCCTTTTCCCACAATGATTTCCCATCACTTTCTTCGTCTTTGATGCTATTTATGGGATCAAGATTCATCAACTGTATAAAGAAGCTGCCCGATTTTGGTATTATTATGCAATGTTAATATGAAAATTGAAGAATAACTGAGTAAGAATTCTCGCTTGTGTGAGGATGAGAGGATTAAGGTGATGACAAGAGGGGATTTAGATTTTGAATTTTGAAAAGGATATTATAATAACGGATATGAAGCATAAAGAGGGGAGTTATAGTTGCATTTTTTGCATAATGATGACAAGAGATTTAATAGGAGATCATATAACCATCAATTATGAATTTTAGCTTAGAAACCTCTCAATGGCAATTAATTTCTAAAAATATATTGTGGATCAAGCTTACTCCGGCATATGGGATGCATTTTCCCTTTTGTACCTCCCATAAGGCATATGGCAACTACTCCAAATGCATTCCAAGCAAATAATGATTCAAATTTTGTCCAATTCCCAAGCAAACAAACTGAACACAACACTAATTTAGGATCAAGATAAAAATTGTACTTCTCCGTTCTTTTTTATTAGTCCTCTTAGGGTTTGGCACGTGTTTTAAAAAATAAAGTAGTAGGGTAAATGATAAAGTAGGAAAGATGGTATATTAAAAACAGTAAAGTGATGATAAAGTAGGAAAGAGAGCGTATTAAGAAGAGTAAAGTGATGGTAATGTAGGAAAGAGAAAGTGGTTTGTAAAAAGTAAGTGGGGTAAAAATAATTAAAGTGATGGTATTTTCTCAAAAAGATTCCTTAAAGGGAAAAGAGGACAAATAAAAAAACGTCCCAAAAAAGAAAGAAGGACTAATAAAAAAGAACGGAGGGAGTATTTTAAAAGTTATTTACGGAGTAAATATTAATGCAAAATGTTTATGCTTAAATTTTGCTAAAAAATCTTGTGGTTCTCAATTTGAACCCTGACTACGCCAATAAACATGTCACAAATTAACATTCTATACATGTCCAATAAAATTCACGTGTTGCTTCTTAAAATTCACGTGTTGTTTCTTAAAAATTCACGTTGCTCAATTTAAAAGCAACGTTCTCACATATTTGGAAATCCCTGTACTTTCATTTGATGGTCTCAATTAATTATGTAGTACTTCCTCCAAATTAAAAACAAGTTTCACCTTTCCTTTTTAGACAGTTCCAAATTAAGTTTCACTTTCAAACCTTTTCCTTATTTGGCAAATTATCTACATCAAAACAGTTCCAAATAGTGGCAAACAGTGCCAAACAATGTCCAAACAGTGTCCAAACAGTTTCAAACAATGCACTTCACAGTAAAGTCAAATTTCTTTTCTTAATATGTGTGAAATCAAATGTGGAACTTGTTTTTGAATAGGAGGGAGTATTATGCAGTTTTTTTGCTTATATCCATTGAAAAATAAGTCCAGTGTCTTCCATCATTTCGCAGTTTTTTTGCTTATATCCATTGAAAAATAAGTCCAGTGTCTACCCTATTTTGCAGGCTTGTTTGTCCCCTTAGCTTGTACTCCGTATAAAATAGGTTTAGTCATAAAGTTTAAATATATCTTTTCTGACAATGATGGAAGATATTACGGAGTATTAATACATAATACGGAGTGTGTTTCTTTTTATAACTAACTTTTGGAGCATATAAAACAATTATGCTGGATGTTCACACATGCCAAATTGGGACAGTTTAAGGATATATTAAATCAATTTAGGATATGAAAACATTCTCGTAGGGGTGGGATCGGGTCGGGTTGGGTCGGGTTTTGGTTAGGACCGTAAAAAACCCGAAAACCTTCGGGTTCTACATTTTACGACCCGATCGGAGGACCAATGCTTTCGGGTTGGTCCGGGTTTTAAGAGTCTCGGGTTCGGGTTGGGTTCGGGTCGGGTTGGGTTGAACCCGGAAAAAATCAAAATCACAATTATGGACGGCCACATTATATACAAATTTGCACATATAGAAACACTCAACAGACAAAGTCCTTTACAACCGTCTGATTTGCACATCAAATATTTGAAACCGCATGTAATTCACTAATTCTAACTTCTAAGTTCTGTGTGTCAGAATTCAAAGTCACAAACTGCATGTCATTCTAAGTTCTGGGTGCCATAATCTAATTTCGGAACTGAGAAATATAAAAAAATTGAAATCAATTCACAAAAAACATTGCAAATATCTAAACTTTAAATTAAAAAAAACATACTCCCTCCGATCGAATTTTGAGCTGAAATTTGGTATGGACAAACTAGACTTGGTGAGGAACATGCTCAAAAAATTTCATCAAAAAATTCTACCGGGAAGTGCCCCAAATGTCCATGTTCGGACACTGTTCGGACAAAAAATTGCTGGACAGGATCATTACTCATACTATGGATATGGAGTATAAATACATTAATTATAGAATTCTACTAGGGTTGGCAAGGTAATGAACTGTGGGCCTGAGGCGGCTAATTAATACGGAGTATAATTATTACTCCGTAATTGCAAAGTAGTATACTCTGTATAAGGTATGAATTGTATGATGTATCAATTTTCCATACGTATCATATATAAAAAAATATTTTTTTTTTCATATTTAAATCGGGTTTTTTTTCGGTCCGGGTCGGGTTTATAATTTTAGAACCCGGTTAAAGACCCGAATTTTCGGGCTCGGGTCGGGTTTTTTTACCCGGACCGGTGATTTTTAAAATTAAACCCGGACCGATGTCATTTGTCGGGTTGGGTCGGTCCGGTTTTCGGGTTTCGGGTCGGTTTTTCCCAGCCCTACATTCTCGAGCAAAAAAATCTGTTAACAATTTCATAGATCTAAATATTAAGTACAAAAAAAGGTAAAAAAATCTGTGAGGAATTTCGTAGATCTAAATATCCAAATATAAAACTAGGCCCTTGCAATATAAGGAGATTTCAACAAATAGGACTTAATCATACTAAATTTCTAAAACTAAGACTAAGAATTAGCATAAGACTAAACCGTGCCTACTTTGACCATTATATCCCTGATTTTTAATTAGATAGGCAGATAACAAATGCCTATTGAAACATGCCGCTACAAAATCATCGGATCTTGCTTTGCCCGTCCTGCATCTTTGTTGCTTGGAGGCTCTCCCTTGAGTCACCCTTACTTGCCGGCGGCATACATGACAGTCGGCGCGGCGTTGCCCTGCTCTGCCTAGAGGACGAAGCTTTCAAAAATCGCCTCAGAGATTACACTTCAAAAACCGCACCAGATCCATCAGTTTCGAATTCATCTTTCTCCGGTTGATTTCATAGAACGCCACCACCAGAGGTTTATTCTTCTTCTTCTTCTTCTTCCTCCTCCTCCTCCTCATCCTCTTCTTCTTCTTCTTCTTCTTTTCTGATTTTGGACATTGATTTTGCTAATTTCGAAGTTCTATTTTGATTTTTTCAAAAGACCACCAGGTACTCTGCAAAACGTAAAGTAACCAGATCCAAAATCAAATTTGCAAACCCTAGACAATACATAGACATTAAGTAGTCAGTAAACAGACAATAAGTTCTAATAATAGTTCAATAGCAGGCAATACATAGACAGTAAGTAGTCATTAAACAGACAATAAGTTGTGATAATAGTTCAATTGCAGAGCAGGTCACATAAAACAATATATACACAATTTACTATATCTAATAATGAAATCGGAGCTTGGTAGACTCCAATCTCGCCGGAGAAGGTTGTTAACCAGAGATGGAGCAGTCTTGCCGGACAAAACGGCGGTGGTGGGCGGCGGTGGGCGGCGTCATTGTACAGGGTGGCCTGGTGCTCTGTGGTGTGGCCGAGAGATATAGCAGAGGTTGTGTACTTCGTATTTTTTTTAAATATGCTAATGTAAAGGGAGGGGTAAAAATGGAAGACAAAAATACAGTTTTCTAAAATGGTGCTACATAGATCCTACGCAAGGAAAAACTGGTGATGAATCCTAATTTTGTAAAAACCCTTTGATTTGCTCCTACGGAGAGCAATTTTCTCTGCAATATATAGAGAAGCAAAATTCCAAATTAGTCATAGAAAATAAGGATGTTTTCTTTTGGACTGAAATTTGTTGGTCTGGTCTGATCTGATATTATCTGGTCTGGTCTGGTCTGGGACTGAAAACAGTCCAAAAGAAAACATCCTAAGAATACAAAACTCATCCAAAAATGCATACTTTGCTTCTCTTTGATATTTTAGTAAAGGGAAAAGGTACAAATAGTGTGAGAACAAATATATCTCTGTTCTATTTTTTGGAACAAACATATCTCTCAAATTTATGTGCAAGTGTATATATACTCCTGAACTTTTAAGACTTTCAAAAATACCTCTCATGTTTTATAAAATAGCTAATTTACCCTTTTTTATTATAAATAAATAAAATAAATTTTATAAAACAACAAAAATAAATTATAAATTTGAAATTGAAGAATTAAAAAAAGAGAGTTAAATATAAAGATTTATTTTTATGTTAAAATTATAACTATTTAATTTTAAATTGCAAAATTATTATTTTTTGGTTGTAAATGAAGCACTTCACATTCATAATTATTAACTTTAGTCTTGTTGTGAAATTTCAAACACATTGATACATTTTGTAAAATAACATGTTTTGATTTAATTTAACCTTAATAAAATTAAATTCACTATTTAGTACTCCTGATCTATTTATCATCATACAAAATGTGTACTATTATAGTGCAAAGATTATAAAAAATAATGATTTTTTTACATTGAAATAGATATGCTAACACTTTTCCGAAAAAATCTTAAATATATAGTAATGTTTTGAAATAATATTTTATTCTAACAATATTAAATTGTGGTATAAAAATAATAAAAAGGAGAATTGGACACAATTAGATTTTATAGTTTTTATTTTAATTTTCAATTTCAAATTTATAATTTATTTATGGTAATTTTTGAAATTTATTTTTTCTATTTAATGTCAAAAATGGTAAATTTGCTCCTTCATAGTAACATGAGGGGTATTTTCGCACTTTTTAAAAGTTCAGGGGTATATATAAACTTCCACATAAATATCTGGGGGCACATATGTTTTTAAAAATAGTATAGAGATATAATTATTCCTACAGTCATACTACAAGGATATATTTGTACATTTTCCCTTTATTTTATTGGTTCATTTATTGGATGCCCTTCATAGTCTTGGTCTAT